ACATAAAACCCCCATACATATTTAATTAAAAAAATATGATTTTGAAGTGTATTTAAAGTAAGTTAATATGTAATAGGAGTAGGATTCTGATGATAAAATTCAGTAAAATATTTGATATTAGGCCACTAATATAATTTATTAACTCTTTCCTTGTATGATTCTAACCAAGGGGTTATATTTATTCTAAAAGGTTCACATGTTAAAGTACCCACGACATATTTTAGGATCATAGTATTTACGTGTAGAATTTATAACAACACAATATATCTTTTTAAATTATGTTTAAGAATTTAAACATAACATAATCTAGTATTGATTGAGCTATGATGAGATGTCTTCACTACACTCCCTGAAGGCTTTTGTAAAGCTAATAGAGTAATCTTAGCTAATAACTACAAGCATCAAACACACAACACTACACGACAGTGCAACCCTATTAATGGTCCATTGGCACTAGCATTAAGCTTACTGTTTGATCTTCCCGTTTAGGTTACGTGTAGGCCCTAAAGGTCCTATACACTTCCTTTTTCAGGAGACTTTATTATTGTAATTTTAAAGATACAACAATATAAACCATACCGAAATTAAGGATTGTTTAATACGGAGGGAAGACAATTAATACGTTTTTTTTTTAGACTATCTACAGAATTGTAAGTCCGTGATGATAATCTTTTTTCCACATCGTAAAATTCTATGGTGTAATTTTATATCCTTCTATTACATTTTTATAACATACATAGAAGGTCCCACGTAGAGGTTTAGACGGTTTGTATTGTATTAATATGTATAACAGCCCATTCATACCCCTAGCAGCCTTGACTTAAAGCATTAAGTAGGCTTTGAAAATGTTTTTGAAAATGTCACCTTCCTAACGTTTGTAGAAACTAATGGTGACATTGCTTTTGCTATCAAATTTACAGGTTTTACAGATTTTTTGCCACTTTACGATTTTGAAAATTTTTGTTGAAAGTTGATTCATTAAGTAATACTGCTTGAAACGTTAAAATATTAACCTAATTTAGCCTCCACAAGTGCATTTTTAATTCAACTGAAGTTCAAGAAATGAATTTTATTGTTAGAGAACAAGTGAAATGTCGTGCGTGTAATATTGTTTTTGGGAGCGTTGCCGAAGCAGTTAAACGATTTTTTAGATAACTAAAATGTTTTAACAAAACCCTGTACAAACTTCATGTCATTGAACAATAACCGTTATAAATACCTATTGCATACGAATGATGTTAAGTTTGAATGGTTTTATTAACTCACTAAAAGGAAAAACCCTTATACTGGAGTGTTTTTAGTAAATATAGAATCAAATACTTAAAGTTTAACAGTGACCGCTAAGTTAATAAAATATAATATATTTCATTATACGTACAATAAATATTATACAGTATGAAATTTTACATTAAATTTGTATGGGTAAGTAATATAATTGAATTGTAACACTTAGAAGACGTTTTGAGAGTCTAAATTTTGTACTGCGTTGCATTTTATAATCAGCTAAAGTGTTCCACTTAGATTACACTTTGAATTTACGCGTGTTTGAAATATACGTAACATGAAAGAATTGTAATTCCAATCAAGGTTGGATCGCCGTTGATGGATCTCCAATATCAAGTCCTTCCCACGAGGCCAGTCTCTGATTGGATTCTTTCACGCCAACCTTAAAAGCTTCATCAAGGAAAAAAGAGACATGTTGATGAACTTTTTTTAATGAAACTAATCGAATTTAATATGGTTTTAGAACGAATAGTGTATATTAATGTGTGCAGTAACATCCCTTCATTTATAAATCTTACCGTTTATTAATACAGTAATATAAATTATTTGCGGATTTTTAAACTCTTTAAATGTTTAACGGGATTTAAAGAATAATTAGTTACGGATTTATTGTTACACCATTGTATGTCACATTGTCATAACCAGTTATATTTCTGTACGGAATCGGTTCAAACCCTGGTCTAGTTACTGGAACTTTTTGTTTGATGCATCATTAATCCAAAACTCAATAGAAATATCTGGCTACGAATTCTGTCTCGGTGACAGAAAACATTACTCTTGATAGGTAGCACTCAAAAAATCTAGTAGATGAAAACCATTTTAGATGTGTTTATAAACACAGCCATAAAGATGTTATGTCTTAGTCATTAATAATACTCGGGCACCTACAAATATCTTTAAAATTGGGTAATAATCTGATCATATACTGTAGGTTATGATAAACTGTTGTTTGATCAAATAACACCAAATTGCTTTATAATAGCCTATTTTGAACATTTTCTTACATACAAGTCTTCGCTTGGTAAGAGATGAATAAAAAACATGATTTGTTGATACTTTATTTAAACATAGAATCTTGCTTAGTACATAGTATTAGTATCAAATCAATCAACTAACAGGGTTGTTTTCGACAGTATAGCAACACGACGTGGTTTATGTAGGATGTAGATTAAAAATTATAGAATAGAACACTTGTTATTGGAACGGATATTCCCAACGCAAATTTAATCTCGGTTACTCATCTATAAGTTTAATCCCACCATGTAATTTTCATATATAATATATCCAACCTAATATCACTTTATGACAATAAATCCCAGTAAATCTTAAAACTGATACATTACAAAAATACTTATAAGTAGTTATTTGTGAGTTTACCCGTTACCTAAAAAAAGGTGGTCGAGTATCGCTCACAAGGATTTTATATGAGAAATGATATATTATTGTGACACTTATATTTTCATAAGAACTCAAGAACAAATTGCATGAAAGTATGTTATAAAATAACACAAACAACGCAATAAATAAATTTATAATATTTTGTCATTAATGTGTTCTATACAAAGGTATTGTATGAATAATTTTGAACATATGTACAAATATATTCCTATCGAATCGCATTTATGTAACGAGTTTCTCATAATATAAAGTTAAAGAATGTTGAATGTTTGTTAAAATTACTTTGATAATAGTATACCTACACAAAAATATTTTTGTGTCTCGTATATTCTAGTTTGAAGTCGTGCCTAAAAAACGAAAAGAGTTTGTGATCGTTGTATTCAGATGAATTTTACTGTTAAAATTGCCGCCTACGTATATTTTTCCTAATGGTGTAAAAAGTCGTTATTACAGTCGTTAGCTGAGATATAAATGCGTTCGTTACGTTGAGCTTTTGTTACAAGAGCTTTGTTTCGTTAGCTACGATTTATATTAAACTCAACTTAAATCTTAAACTTAAAACTTTTGGCAAATTTCCTTGTGGGCAATTACTATTACTGTAGGTTGCACGTGAACTTAATCTTCTCAAGAATAGGTGATCGGCTTATATTTCCTATTAACTATTTCGGTTTTATTATTTTGTTTAAATTTTCAGTAAAAAGTAAATTGACTAACCTTTTTCAGATGAATCGAATAAAATGTCGTTACCTGTAACAACAAAGTAATTGATAAAATATTTAATAACAGCATCAACCAAGTCTGTTTGTTATCCTGGTCCAAAATAGATGCTTAATATACAGTTATTATGGATCTAATTTATTATTCGACCGTGCATAATAGAAGCTAGTAAAATCTTAGTTAGTGGAATGTGAGTGAGGAGCTGGAAAATTATCATTCCCTTTAATAACGCTAGCCCGATGTGGGCGTGTCCACTAGGGGGAAATATTGATTGGATGTTGATAAAACAAAGGGTAATTTGATTAATTACTGTTTAACCAACACTTATCGCCGGAATATTGAAACAATGCTCGGTGCTTTAATGGTAATTAATGAACGGAAATGCTCTAAATGACATATGAACAAGCGTTACACAAAATAACAACTACTGGGGTTAGAAAATGTTGGAATACATTTGAATACATTTAATATTCCTACACTGGCCGCTTGAGAATGAGAAATAGAACAATCTTAAATGAAATCATTAATTAAATTAAATGAAATCATAAATTAAATTAAATTAAATTAAATCATAAATGAATTCTTTAAACAGATAATCCTGCTGGATGCAGCTAACCCACGAAGATTGATCTTCAAGTAGCTCAGTTAAAGTTTACCGATAGTTTTAAGTGCCAACACTGCTTGGCAAAACCTCAACATACAAACCAAACCAGTTTACGTCTGCACTTTGAACTCCCATGAACCGGTAAAGTCTGGTTATTTCAGCTATATAGGACATATACAATCCCTATGACATTTTAACTTTGATAAGCTATATTATATCGACATGAAAACTGATATAAAACATAAATATATTTCATTCGCATTTTATTTGTGCATTGATTTAAAAGTTAAGATATAAATGCACTGATATAAAACATCAAATACAGATATAAATCCTTTTATTATTTTAAAAGGAAGTTAGGATTTATTTGGTGCCCAAAAGAGAGTTGAGTTTCAAAAAATTTCAAACGCGGTTTTCAACAATAAATTGATAAATTTAAACTTATAGTGGCGGATATTAAAATGCTATTTTCAATATAAATTGTTCGCTGTAGTTAAGAATACTTAAAAAGGTTGTGTAAAAATCAATAAGTTATCGATACAAACATGATGTCGGCAGATCTTTAACTGCTCACAAAACATGCTTACAAAATGCAAGTTTTCTATAATAATATTTATTCTCAATAATTTAACAAACAAACAAAAATCCTTGTTTCAAAATAAATTTTTCCCTACACAAACTTTATGACCAGCCTTTTCATTATTGAAGTATGAAAACCATTCAACTTTGATTGAGAACGACATGCATTAAGATAACTGAAGAGCCACACCTGAATCTAAGTAATTAAGTGACAAAAGTCACTTTAGTATCTGTTGTAATTCGAGTGTCCCTTATCAACATTACTCTGATAACACTTATCTGACTAATGATACCTGAAAATTGTTTCTTTACTTAGTAGGTTTATCCAGTGACAATGTTTTGTTGGTGAGTGCTTTTAAGTTTTCCTGTTGAGGGTTCCGTTTTTTTTCACGTTTCAAGACTGCTTTGTTTAAATGTATGCTGTTCTTACTAAATCTTAAGAGTTGGCAATTCAATTTTAACCTACGAAGAAAGGTTTGTTTTGGAGATTTTTCTATCCAAGGAATTGATTTAAGAGAAGTTTAAAAATATATTTTGCTTATACTGTAGCGTGGAAATATTTATATTTCAATACTAGAACATTAAAGCTAGTAGGTTGTTTGATTGTCCCGTTAGATGCAACAGTAATTCAGTTAATATAATTTATTAATTAAATATAATTCAAACATTTGTCATATCAGTCTTATTTCATAAAAAAATATTAATGATTTTACATTTTACTATTTGAATTGAATTGAATTGAAAAATTCTTTATTGTTCTTTTCAAATACAACAGGTACTTTTTCATTCATTGTCATTCATTTTCATTCATGATTTTAAAAAGTTGACCATTCATTTGCATTACTTTGCAAGAAAAAATGATAACTCATGCCTAATTTAGGAGTTTGTCATTTAAATTTGAAACCGTTCAATGAAATGCGTTTTTATACTAAACGCATGAAGAAATATTAAAATTATATCACATATTAATTTACATTATACATAAACACAATTTATTGGCTTTAAAGTACATTTATCAATTGAAATTATGCTGAAAAATAAAACTAGTACTGCTACTTAACTCTTAAATAGTTATTGGTCATTTTAAACAATTAACATCCTGCTTACCTAATTACCAAAGTTCCTGAATTATTATACTTAACTATAACATAATAACCTAATTTTTAAATCTACAGGCATTTATGGATCATTGGATTACTCTCCATTATCGCACACACACAAGAAGATTCGGTGGATCAATACATTTTAGAGGATAGCTATATTTCTGGCTATTCAAATAACGTTAAAGGTAAATTTGTATGTAATGCTGTTATAGTTTTAATTAATTTGTGCATTTGAAACTCAAAGATTGTATTAAGATGTGTTTGCTGCTCTTTTATGACTATTTTTTTAGGCCAGTGCCAGAAATATTCAAAATGCATGGCATCAAAGGAATAACCGTTGACACAATTAATGTTTTGTGGTAGCTTTAAAACAATGCTTACCGCTCATATAAGAGGAAACTTACATTTAACAAAAACAGTGGACGTACAAATATATATGTTTATGTTGGTAGACTCGCCAGTGGGATGGCGCCCAGTTATTATAAACATAACCGACTGCTTGTACAAGTCTGCGTTAAGGTTTCTGCAATGTTCCACTAAACCAAACAACACACATGGCATTGCACTACTAGACCCTTTGGACTTTAATTTGGACCAACTGGCTGAAAGGAAAACCATCAGGTTAACATATGATTTTTTAGGTATACTTTATACTTTTTGACTGGGACGGGTGGCGTCGTCCTGTAATCCAGCTACTAGGAGGTCACGAATTGTGGATATTTATTGGCATGCACTGTGAATGCGATACTCCCTGGTGTGGAATATCGTCCGCAAAAGTGAGTACTAAGACTACCCGCAGTGCTATCCTGATAATTAGACCAATTCGTATATACCAAGGCAAAAAATGTGGTTTGGATTCCACTATAAACTGTAGGTCCCTTAGTTGCCATTAGCTGTATGGGCTATTAATTAACAGCTGTGTCTAAGGAATGTCTAAACACACATTATGTGGATAGTAGTAAACACTAACAAGACTACAAGATCGCGCCACTCATCCTACACTCATCTCCATTCATACTTGGCTTAAAATACCACCTATATGTGGTCGCCATTTCATAAAAAGTATTAAGTATTAAGTATTAAGTATGATTTGGTAAATTATTCATGTAGTCAGACGACAGAGAGTGTTTATGAAACTGGGTTGGTGGTGGTTGGGTAAAGATCAACTAAATTCAAAACGTTCTATTCTTGAAATAGCCCACTTCGTCAATGAAATAGTGTGGGTCGTCATATAATGATGTAATGAATACTTGGTTGCAATTCATATAGTTGGGGAAATATTAAACCAAGCTGGCAAGATTCGCTTTATCTTTACGTACAGGTAAGTTAGTATTACAATTTATTTATGGTGTGATAAATTAATTTACGTATTTTCCAGACTTAACGGGGTTATCAACGGTACAATTTGGGAACTATCTAAGCTGGATATAAACTATGTCATCGTCACTGTGCCTTCTTTCTACGCTAAGATAATTGGAAACATTCCAAGACTTACAGTTTCGGGAATTCACGATGTCACTGGTGTTTTGGCTGGAGTTCTTCCAGTTTACGGTTCTGGTCCATACAGGTATGTGGGCGATGTTTTAAATGTTAGTATAATAATGTATGGAAAGTATAATCTCATTCTATTATTAGGCACACGGTGCGTTTAGAATGTATTTCCGATACATTGTACATGGGGACGGAGATGAGCTAGCTTATACATCGTGGACATTATTGGTGCCATGTTCAATTCCCATTAATCACCAATTATTTGTTTCTTATTGATAATGATGCAGCCTCTGTATTGATATCTTAGCCTAAATTTATGTAAAAACAATCCAGGGCTAGAGCATATAGTTAAAATAAAAGACCCTATACACACATACTTTAAATTCGTTTACATGAAAGTAATTGAAATTGAATAAGTTATCCTTCTAAGATAATCTAAAATGGGTAATACTATTCAAAATCCTAAGCCAAATATTTTAGCAGGGTGAAAATACGCAATATTATTTCAGATGCAACACAAATATTACTTTTGAAGCTGCAATCAATTGTAGAAAATCTATGTTGACCTTCGCTGTTCTATTGGACTAAAGAAGAGGTTTCCTGCGTTGCCATTTGATTTGAATGTAAAATGTCCACAAAAAGGGTTGGGAAATTTCTGCTGATTATTGCATTTGGAAATGTAAACCATTAAAGACTATCAGAAATAGCTGATACCATAGTTTATCTATTATGAAATACTCAACGCTCTTAAAATTGCTCTTCACATTCTAGCACGCTATATAGGTCTAAATAGGATTAGACTTGTTCAAAATTCGTTCAGAATAAGTATTGGCAAGTTATTTTTGAGCAAGTCGTTTTTCTTATTAAGAGATCGAGATTCACATTTAAGGCGTACGTAAGTCTACTGCCACAGTTTAAAGAGTTGTCTTAAGCAGTTGTCCTAGCAAACTCAATACGAAATATAAACGTGTTTTTTGTATATCAATTGATACTGATATTTAAATATTAATACTATCAAATTACGTTAAGCACTCATATACCTGTAACATATTTTTTCAGCATTGAAATGTATAACACTAGTGTAACCATTTCCATGGGACTAAGAACATACCAAAATGGGAGTTTCTACATGTCAACCTTCGATGTAGATTTTTCACCGAAAGAAATTAAGGTAAATCAGTGAGAAGGCATGTGAAAAACGTTTTAATTTACCAATGACTACGTCTTAGAAGTTTATAACCGATTCCTGTAAAAAATAACGTATATCGAACCTTTAAGGTTGAAATTTACGCGTATTACTCGAGATCAAAACCCTTACATTTCAGTAATTTAGTCTTCCATGAGTTTTCTCTAATTCAATGTGTGTAAGTAAATGATAACTTTATACCCTACAAGTTTTAGTTGGTATATTTAAGTTTAAGGGTTAATATATACTTTTCAATCAGTCAATACAAGATAGAATCCACAGAAAAGTTCACTATTATTTTAGTAAATGTTCCTTACTAAAAAGTAGGTAATTAGTAACCATACAAAACTGGAGCTACTAATAATAAAATCATATTTGTAAAAGCCAAATCACTGTTAATAGTAAAAATCTTCCAAGTATTAACGATAACGTTCCGGGGGTTTGAAAATTTCGTTTTTAAAAAGTATGCCACAATTTAGGGATTAGGTTGTCTGGACTTAAAAAAAAAACATTATTCTTAGAGAGTAAACAATGGTAAGATACGCTTTATGACAAAACAATTATTAATGAAATGAAATTACTACTCATTCAGATTATTTTGTGTTAATTAATTGTATTTCTTGTTACAGAACAAATGAAAGATATCCGTTATGTAACTAAGTTATGCACAGTATGAAAACCTTGCAATAATATTTCTATACACGATCCAATGACCTTTTGATATCCATTATCTCGTGGAGAATAGTTACGTCACCAAATGTATGGACTTCCTTTAAAGAATTTACCTAAATATCTCATTTCTTAACAAAATTTACTGATTTATAAATTATTTAGTAAATGATTCAACGATTGAAATTTTTTGCCTCCAGGTTTCCCTAGAACACCTTCTAGGAGGTGGCTCCCTGGGTGCAACAGTTCAGGATTTCCTACAGGACGCCGCCCAGCAGATCCTCGCCCGGAGTCGTCCCCAAATTAAGGAAGACCTACGCAGGACCGTCATCTCCGCAGCCAATCCAAGACTAGTCGTTCTAAATGGCGTTTCCGACCTAGTAAGCTTTTTTGTAAAGTTTAGCAACGTCCCTGCGAATACTTGTTGATGAATCGTAAACTATTTTTGTCCTTACATAAGGAACCGATAGCTCCAGTGAAATAGTATTAGTAATGTTTTAATCTTTCACGTAGTATTGCTCAGTTATTATTGGTCCTTGGATAAAATAGTATTAATTTTGTTACCAATAAATAATTTGTTCTGATGTAAAAACACTTTAACAAACAATAAATAGTGTTTTGTCCAAAACTATAGTTGCCTTTTAATTTTCATATTCCCAAGATAGTTAATCGAGCGTAAATAATCTGTTTTGACGTAGTAACACCTCATTGAACAAGAAATTATGTGTTTTCTAAACAATAATAGTGTTTTCCTATTTGTATTAAATGATTTAGTTTTATAACTATATGGAAAATTGTTCATCAGAATAATGGACATAAAAACCAGTCAATCTGATAAACATTACAAACAAAAATATATACATTCTTCAGTAACATTTTAGATTATTGGAAATTTCCCTTACTAAAGAAAATATTTTTGTTCGTACCCTAAAGGTCAGCATTTTTGAATGTTCAATGGCCAAGGTTCGACCTCTACGTATTTGCAAAAATCAAAAGCTTTCTATTAAAAGTGTTTATCATTGTATAACATGAAATACCATATCGCTAATTGTTATTAGTGTTAATTAGATACAATATTCCCATTGTTGTGTTATGATTTAAGATTTAATCCAAATATTATTACCATTAGATCGTAATTAGTATGCTCAACTGTGTTGTAATTGTGATGTATTTGCCAAAGAAAACTAATTTGCTAGTTAGGTTTCAATAAATGTAATCATTTAAGGGGAAAGTACATTTATTTTTGATAATATAATACTGGGTGATTCACAACGAGTAGTTACATAGGGTAGATAAAGTATTTGGTAATGATAAATAGGTAAATATCTCAAATTTTGTTTGAAATAGCTAACTATCATTGAAATGACATTCTATGTCATAAGGCTTTAATTACACTTTAAGATAGATCTTTCAGTTTTCTTAAATAACAAAAATAACCCGGCTGGCGCCTGTTGTTCTACGTTAAAAATCTGTTATAGTAAATATCGTAAATAGGTAGGCTATCTGAGATTGGCAGAGGAAGTTTGGCTTTACATGTATTTCCTTTCCTTTCCAATGAATACATTCAAATAAATCTTCTTATAAGATATAACTTTGTTTTGTCAAAGAATAAAATATAACCCCGGAGCATTGCGTGAGAAGAACTAGTATCTACAGTCCCTAGAGTCTACTGCAGCAGAGATTCACATAAATCATATCTTCCTGTCAAAGTCCACTTTCTTTCTAGTTGTTGTCTCATAATAAATATTATCGGCTAATGTGATATTTAGTTTTGTTCGAATTATTATTTTGTTTATCTTCAAAAGATACAGAATCTTTTCGATCCTGAGAAAAGTCAGTAATGTTTTGATGGTTTGAAAGTGGTCCCAGCTGTTCCTGATTACTGTGTTTTAAATTAATAGTTCTAACTACTGAAACAGCTGATCTTAGTCAGTAACAATGCTACATAGATAATCTCAGACCATTTTACTCTTGCAATTAACCAATATTTGGGTTGAAATACGTACCTAGGAGGTGTTCCCATCTCAAATAATTGATAATTTAAATAATAGTTAATTGACAAAATGGTGACGTGAAATTATGGTTTTAGACTTTATATGTTTTCTTTTGCTTAAACCTATGAAAAAACTTTCCCCACACGTTATAAACTAACAGAAACCAATCTTGAAAAAAAAAATTAAAGCAATGCAATTATGGAATGGTTTTTTTTATTGTTATTATTGATGATAAATGTGTTATAATTAAAATTAAAATTAAATGTGTAAATTATATTTTTCGTATATTAATAATCCACTCAAAAAAACTATTGCACTACTTTACACTACTTTTTGATATTATTGTTTACAGTAGTCTAACATTTCATAATGTATTTTGGAAGAAGTAAATTTTCTACAAACAAATAGCAGTATATGTAACTTATATGGTACGTTATTTTACTTCCAAATCTGTTAAACTGATTTTACTTAAATTATTTAACAATACGGATGATTTCCTTGTAAATGATTTTTTAAAGAAGTTTATTTCATGCCATGTGTGCAAGTAGGTGGGAGTTAAGTCCTTTGTAACTTGGAGTTAATCTTCTTAGCCTGTAAGACAACAGGCGCTTCTAATCTTGGCAGTGTTGTCAAGTAAATGCGGAAAAGACACTAATTTGTTTGTAATCTTGGAAACACACTCACTGTAACAATAAGGTGTGTTACTTGATGACACTGAATCTTGTAATATTAGGTTGTTTGTAAAGCCCCACCTTCATATCCTAGGACGCTAGGTTTTAGGATCATGGCATTATCACATGGATAAATCCATTGGTGATTGGTGGGATTTGAACCCGGGACTTCAGGCTCTGAAGCCCCTGGCTCTACCCCTAGACCAACAGGCTCGTTATAATAAATCTGTTTGAGGAGTTTGCACAGGTAAATAATTGTAACTAAGAGCCTTTGGCCCTATTTATGTTTAGTCACTAATAAATCAAATGGAAGTGATAACATCTATTATGTTCAATACATTATGTGTGTAGAAAAGCATTGTATAAACAAAAATGTACGCATTTTTATAAAAAGGTGGGCAAAGGTTGAACCAACTTTTATAATATTTTTTATCCACTGGACGCTTCAAAGTGTGTATAATGCATCGCAAACATCATTCATTAGACAAAACCTTTGATATTTTGAAAAATCTGCTATGTTTAAGTGAATTACTTGTTTTATTGTATATTTGAAGTATGTAAACAATGGTAATTTTTTTTTATTCCTCGTAGGTGTAAATAACTCAACATTACGTATAATCCCCGTTTATTTCCAGCTGTAACTGTAGTTATCTTATGCAGTATTTGCATGCGTCCCAGAAGTAGTTACCATATCGTACAGCCTAAGGCAATCGTACCTATGCATAGAACGCAACAGTGCACAGAAACAAGAATATACACATATAAATGTATAATTTAAGATTATTGAACTGTTATGTTACTCAGCCTGAATAAATGTTTCTATTAATTTAGTAGAAGACCATAGAGTATAATATATTTTGGAGTATAAAACTCTCGTTCAAAGTTCCAATAATTATTGGTGTTAATACTGTTGAAGTCAACTAGAAAAACAAGGGTCTAAGTAAAGTTGCAATGATTTAATTGTATATTAAATATTTAAATAAATCTAAAGGTCAATTTTGAGAAGTGAAAGAAAACATGGCAAGTTTTAAGCAAAGTGATTAAATCCACAAAAAATATCCGTTATAGCTCAGCAATCATTAATATAGTTATGATATTATTTAGTCCTAAAAAACCTTTTATAAAAATTTGTTGTCTTAACACGAATAATTTATTAATTATATTATTAATATATTATTATTTAATATTATTAATATTAATTATTTACGACGTACTATCTTTACTTAACCTAATAGTTTAAGTAATTTTTTGACTTAGCTAGACGTTTTAGTGTGATAAACTAAGTAGGCATCTTAACATGAAGCTGATTTTAAAGTAAGTTTTGTGTCTTTGTTAGGAAACATTTGTAACTATTCGTACATTTAGTCTAAACAAGGGCATGAGCCTCTTCGTGCATATGAGGTGTTTAAACTGGTATAATTTCCTAAAAAAAAACGCGTTAGACTATTATTGAAGATGTATATTAAAATTGGTATTATATACACATTATTTTGTAAAGAGTTGATCTTTACAAAACTGTAATTTCTGTGGTTATAATGACTGCATGTCATGAGAGTGGCATTACGACATCCAAAGGGTTTTGGGCCAAAATAAATTTTAAATCCAAATTTACCTATAAGTTTCGTCTGATAATTTTGAGAATTAAAAACGAGTTTTTTTTTTAAGCAATCGGTCGTGTAGTACCCTATGCAAGTCTCCATTTACCCAAGATAGCACCATTTCCTGAAAACCACCGAACGGAACAATAAAACCATTACAAATTACCAATTCAGACAGCAAAATTTACTTCTTCTGTTAATTAACGTTCCTCCTGAACATTAAGCATTAAACAAATCAATCTATTCAAATGTTAATTAATGGTGTACTCAATAGACAATGTCAGTGTTGACAGACGACATTGGTGTGTTTAGCCTTGACAACAATGCTATGCATAACTGTAATGCTATGCATACATGAGGTAATCAAGTAAGATTGATATGAAGTAGTGAAGTGTATTAGCATGAACACTGTAAATCACTCAGTATAAATTAAGTTGGTTGTATGTTTGATATCTTGCAAACCAAACGAAAATGTACATTTTCCGTTTAGAGTATCAACCAGTGCACCAGTGTTTTTTTGCCGTATCAGTATACAAAGAATTGACAATTCCGTTTTTCTATCCATATAGGATACATATTATAAATAGGTTAATACTTGGTTCTTAAAATTATACGAATTCGTTCAATATACTAATGGTTCTAAGAATATTCAAGAACAACAATATTATTAATTATTGTAAATATAACTTTCATATAAGGTGACAAAGCAGTTAGACTTGTAGGTTTTACACATTAAATACATTTTATTGATTGGTTTAAGTAACTTTTATGTACATTCTTTCCGTTTATAGGGAACAAAACATTATGTTTGATTGTATGATGCATTATTTTGATTTGGTTGAACGTTTTACCACAAATACTTCATTTAGTCTATTTAGTCTTTAATATCTTAAGATGCAAACTGTATTGAAAATGTAATGATTAAAGTAACAGAAAATGAATTCCATCTTCCAAATTTCCTTAATTAACCTATTTAAATTATCATCAATGAGGTCTTGGAAAACCTAATGTGTTGTGGAATCAGCGAGAAACATCATTACACATAAACCATATGTTTATCATACATGGTTCATTCATTTGGAGAAAATAGATTGGATTTGTGTCACAATAACTTAGTTCATTTCAACACCTTCAACCTCAAATTTCACCATGATGCAATACAAATGCGCTAAAATGTATATCATATTACTATACTACTATTTTCAAAACATGTTTTCTCATTGAGCATTATAAGATAAACTTATTAACTTTGCATGAAACATCC